TAGTATAGCTATTATTAGGAAATGTAAATTTCTTAGTTTAGTTTAATCTTAAATAAAAAGTGGCAGAAAAGCTGAATTATAAAAAAAAAGAAATATCTTCTTAGCTAAAAAAAACAATAATAATCTAATTAAATTTTTTTAAAAAGACAAAATAATTAAAAATTAAAATAGAATATTAAAAGGTTCATAGTTACTTCATATTTTATTAAAATAATTTTATCAATAGAGTTTAAACTATTTTTTTTAGTTTAAGAAGATAGTTGTATTTATAAGCAACAGAATAGATATATATATTAAGAGAATTATTAAAAAAATATATTAATGCAATCAAAAAGTTACATCAATCTAAACAAAGTCATTAGCATTTTTAATAAATGTATACTTATAAATTAAATTACTATATGTTTATAAAGAATAGCTATTATAGTAGATTTAGTCTATTTATAATACATTATATTATTTTTTAAAATTTTAATTCAAACTTCTAAGCAATAATGAATCTTTTAATAAATCAAATTTGGATCATTTAAATAGTTTGGGCTACATCTATACTGCAACAATTTAATTTCTGTTAAAAAAATTTTATATGACAAAAAAATATAAATATAGCAAAAAAATTCTGGTTTAGATTAGATCAGAATATATAGTATATTTAGTATTATAAAAAGACTTTATATGATTGGCTGTTAAATTAATTTAATTTTGCATTATTTATACAGTTTAAGGTACTTTTAAAAAAAATAAAACTACTAAGATAAGTAAAAAGAAAGTATTTAAGAAGTTTTATTACGGTTATAGAATTCCACAATTTAAATAATCAGGTCCCTTTTTGTTTTAGAGAAGTTAACATAATAATTTATTTTCAGTCATTATTATACTAACCTCTCTAGAACAAAAAAGGATTTAATTATTTTTAATTGTGTAGTCCTACAACCCTAATAAAACATTCTATATGCTTTTTTTTTTACTTATTCTTTGTAGTTTTATTTTTTAAAAAATACTTTTAACTGTATAAATAACGTAAAATTTAATTGATTTAAACAATCAATCATATGAAAATCTTCATAACTCTAGTACAGTAGTACATCACAAATAGCTCAATACAATACGTTCCATACATTACACACACATATATATTATTATATATCAATAATTTCTTTCTAACAAAAAAGGAAAAGTGGCTGTTCACAAGAAAGTACAAGAAAGTAGTTAACCAATCGACAAATTAACACATTAAAATACGCCAACAAATAATTTTATAGTGGGAGTTAAATCATATTAGATCTGAAAACATGAAATCAAATATTCGAATCGTTGTAGCTCTTGGTATATATGATATCTTTATGTATCTTGTATCTTAGATTATTGTGGTAGTTGTGTTAACAGTATGTTTATATTTATATTCATCAGAAATTGGAATTACCCATTCAGGTTAGAAAAAAAATATTCTAATTTGGTAATTATTATGGCGAATAATTCATTCTTTCGTAATCATATATAGGATTTGCATATTCAGACAAAATTAATCCAGAAACTATCACAAATGATACTGTAAGTTTGTAATTTGACTATGTATACTAGACAATACTGGACATCATATTATTTTTGGACCTATAAATTTAACATTAGATAAGTTGAATATGTCCGTTTTAGGTTCATATCCAATTAATTTGATTAAATGTCCAGCATTGTTAAACGAGTTATTCATTTCAGACTTTTTATGTAAAATAAATATATTTCTATTTTATAGTGGTAATATATAAAACTGATTTAGAATTTTCATCAGAAAAGATATAATTTAAAAAATTACAAGTAATCTTAGATGACTTTAATATTAGGCCAGAACAACCGGGCGTATTTAAAACCAATACTGCATTAGCATACGATGAGAACTTGAACCTTGTAGCATGGGGTTACCCAGCCCTTGCCCAAGAACCTCCAAAGAAAAAAAAGGCATTGGCTAAACCACAGCCTAAACCGGTAGAATTATTCATGTTACACCTCGCCAATATAAAGGCGGAAGATAAACCGCCCCTTCCTCCAGGCTTAGATGCAACAAGAGTCATTACCGATTATTTACATGAAATGTAAAGTGACGAAATATTAACTTATCCTACATAGACTATTTATAATTGACTTTAACTAATTTTGAGGTAATAATTTTCCTGTTTAGCTCATTTTAGAAACATTAAATAGTCGATGGCCAGGTAATATAATAAATATCTTTAGGGAACACCTACTTAATATGTTTATTAATATTTAAATCAAGAGCTTGAATCTATTTTTAATATAGGCATTCGATATCCTCAGCAAGTTCGTTTTGTACTACCTATACCTGCCGAATGGTTAGCAATATTCATAATTGATTTGGTTGATGTATTAGTATCTAAAGCATTTTTTCAACATACAATAAAGGAGTTATGAAGCGAAAGCCATTTTGAGAGAATGTATGTATAATGCTGGTTACTTGGAACATAGGCAATCTGAAAATTTAGAGTTTGTAACTGAACGTGCGTAAGTGAAGTTTATTTATTGAATTTATAATTTGATTTGTATACACGTACATGTATAACTTATATATTTATTCTTTTATTTCAGCCGAGGCTATCGCGATTTATTGCTTGAAAACTTTAAATGAGCATAGTCTACCAGTTTGGTGTAAATATATATTTATTATTTGTTGCGGATGATCGTGAAATCGGATTATTATGAAATTTGGATCTATTTTTATGTACGATTTTTAGAGTTTTTGGCCTTTTTTGTCGCTTTTTTTTTTTTTTATTGTTATGTGAGAATTTAGGGGTTAAGAGCTATTAATAAAAGAGTATAAGTGGATTTTGATAGGGCTTATATTTTCAAATTGAAATCTTCAAATTTCACCATCACGATTATCCGAGACATTATTTACTTTATCTATTAATAAGACTGTGCTACCATAACACCAAAACTTTTTTTCATATTAGCGTCATTCTTAATTGTTACTTGCAGAGGAGGAACTGTAGATCTTACAACTAGAACTTTATTACCCGGCATGAAACTTGGTGAAATTACTGAACGTAGTGGTGATTTCTGTGGCGGCTCATATATTGACCGTGAGTTCCTTAAATTCCTTGGTCGAAAATTAGGATTCACTGCAATGAAAAAACTAAAAGAAAATCACTATGGACAAATGCAATATTTGGTCCAACAATTTTGTTCAAGAGCAAAA